AGCGGTTTGCGGGCCAAATTCAGAAATTTTAAACATTGTCGCTCGTTGGCCCGGTAGCGTACACGATGCTAGAATATTCGACAATAGTCGCATATGTGCACAGTTTGAACGTGGTGATATCACAGGTATATTACTTGTTGATAGCGGTTATCCATGCCGCCAATATCTAATGACACCAGTAATTGATCAGCAGACCCGACCGGAACGCAGGTATAATGTGGCTCAAATACGTACACAAAACACAGTGGAAAGGATGTTTGGGACATGGAAAAGGATGTTTCCATGTCTTTTGACGACACTTCGCACAAAACTGCAACCGTCCCTTACTATAATTGTCGCTACAGCTGTGTTGTATAACTTCGTAAGAAGCCAAAATGATCCCATAGATGAACCAGATCATATTCCGGCTGATGGGGAAGCATTAGATGATATGCATGCTGATGAAAGACGTTTGGGAAATGCGGTTCGGCGATCCCTGATAATGCGACATTTTACGTAAATTATACATATCGTATTCATATTGACGACACAATTAATATACATATATACTAAACTATTAAATACAATATACATCATTGATTTTTTGTTCTCTAATTACACAACTTCATAATGGCCAGAACAAGCAATATATAATATGCTCGTACAACCATTTCCTATTTTTAGGGCTTTTTTGTTGTTAATTTTGCTTCCTAGCCCGTGTTTTTGGTTTCTGTTGCTGCTCTTGTGTGGATTTAATTGAATTTGTCATCGATTCCCAATATTGCAGTTCAGCATCTAGAACTTCCATTTTCCTTGTGTGTTCATTTATTATATATTTTTTTTAATACCAAAATTTCCATCTCTGCTTCATGCTGCTTGCTTTGCATGTCCAAACAACGTGCTTGGGCAGCGGATATTTGAGGTTTTCTTGTGAATGATGGTCTGAGGGCACCGTCAACAACAGATGGCGGCAATTATTTTTCGTTCAGTGCAGTGACTTCACCTGAAGTTGTCGTCTCTAAATCAATTTCATCTTCATCGTGATCGAATGCTATCGAATCCAATAAAGTCAATTACATGTTATGTACAAATTTGAAAGTAATTGGAAATTAATTGAAGACATATACCATGGTATAACACCTTCATGCATAGCGATTTCGCATTGTCTCACCTACTTCAAAATTATCATCATCAAATACTTAATCGTCTTGTTTCGACGATGATGGCACCAGTTAACTTAACCTCTCTCTTCTCTCTTGCCAGTTGTTTTTTCGCACAAGCCTTGACGTTTTCCCAACACTTTTTTAACTGCTTTGCATCCTTCTTTGTCACACCTGACTGGGAATTGAATTGTTTCTCGTGTATGGTTTTGTAATCATTCTTTTTATTTTCTAGACGATCTTTGTGCTTTCGCACTAATTCAGTTAACAGCGACCTTTCCAATTGCGAAAAATATTGTCTACCTTCAGCCATCTTAATCAGTAACGTCGTACGAATGCATTGACAAGACTAACAACAGTCTTACTAGTCTATATACCTTCCATCATTCATTAATATTCAACATTAAAGCCAAACTCCAGCAAGTCACACTCGAGTGACGTGTTTGAATTCAAATCTGCCTAATATTTTCAAGTGTGAGTGACCTCTCATTGAGAGGACACTCACACTCTCACTCACACTTCCGTTCCACTTGAGTGCATCTCACTTGAGTCCCACTCAAGTGTGAGTGTGAGTGAGCTTTTAGAATACAGGCGTAAGCGTTTTAAGCACATGTTGAAAAATAATTTTTGTATCATTGACAATTCATGAATTATGATAATATCATAGTTTGCAAGATGCCACTTTATCAACGGTTTCTCATCATTTTCAACTGGGTCATGAAATACGGCATGAACCATTTCATGTGTACTTATCTGGAAGAGTAGCCCTAAAAACTGACGCTAGGAAGCCTGTTGGTGTGCCACTAAAACTTTGGAATCATGAGCTACTAAAGGACATACAATTGCATTTATATTTTACGATTTTCCACAACCAGCTTCACCGGTAATAACAACTCGCTTTTTCCATTGAAGATTAAGATGTTGACTTTCTAAATTCAATGTGTCATGAGAAGCTGGCATTTGAAAGTTGATGTCCGTATCAGACATGTCTTCGGGATGATTATCAATGTCCGATGCGTTTGCAAAATATGAATAATGAATACCACGTTGGCGAATAGCAGAAATGATGTGGTTTTGGATTGTTTGCTGGCAGTTGTCCAGTGTAAAAGAGACGAATTGATTTGGGCAAGGTAAATCAAGTGAATTTGGAGAAATAATTTGATTTTGCCAAAGTAAAAACCTGTCTCTGAGACTGTGGAGATATGCTATACATGTTGTGATGTATGTATCTCTATTTCCGAGATTATGCAAAAATTAAATCACGGTTTCATCATTTTTCCAGAAGGCCAGAAAATTGTGAACAGCTGCTGCATACCATTGCAAATTTGTTGGTATGTTTTCATGGTTAGGATGCTGAAGCTGTGAGATTTATGAGGGAGATTCATAAGAAAATATTGGAAAAAGTACTATTGTTTTTTCTATGGTCAATTGTTTGTAACCAGTTCAACAAAGACAAATCTTTCAATTGACTGGGTCGGTTAAGATTTCTCTGTGAAATAATGTCATCGGCTATTCTTTCTTAAGATGGAACAATATATCGCTTAGTTCGCCTAGAAGACCAGGCTATTTTAATGGATAAAAGAGCTAACCACATCTTAGGCTCAGCAGGCGTCATATCCATAACATACCGGACAGCAAGCCTGGCATGTTGCATATCTTAACATAGCTCTTCCATCTATCGTTTGAAAATCCATTGAGCATTGAAGTGCTGGTATAAGGGTGGAAATATTTGCTCTCAAATTGCAAATGAATGCTTCTGCGGGATGTTTTAAATGTAAAATACTCATCATGACCATCTACATTTCTGAAAAAGGTTTCTTGTTCTTGAAGTTTGAGACAGTTTGATGGACTATCAGACTGCTGGTACTTGCTTAATAATTACAAAAGGTCCGCATTTTCATCAGCGATGTTCATCAAACGGTGCTGTATTTTTGTGATATCGTTTAGCCAAATCAGTAAATGTAAATGAGTTGTCTCCTTTTTCTGAAATTCTAACTGGTAGAAATGGCTCTGGAACAAATTTGATTGTATGTAAAGTTGTGATTTGTCCATTTTTTTGAATTACTTTCACATACATAACCCCTAACTATTTGAACAAGAATATGTGCAATATGCGAGGTCTCATACCCAGCTAATTCAGTTTGGCCATTCCCAATTTTCAATTTATTATGCTCAATCCATTCTGGGAAAGGAAATGTCCACTCATAAGGACTTATAGTTACGAAAACATCAGGTAAACCGAACTGACCAACAGCGTCTAAGATGTAACAATGTTGCCACTGCCAATAGCTTTCTGAAAATGATTTAGTGTCTAATGAGCAAGCTGGTGAACATTTCAAATAGCGAGCTGTGTTAATTGCACCGCTAAGTCCCTTACGAAAATGTTCTATAGAACCCTATGGAATATGGTATAGCATATTCTTTATCCTATTGAATATTCTATAGAGTGCTAAGATTCTGTAGAATATTCTATTGGAATATTCTATAGGATGTTTGATCCTATAGAATTTTCTATTGATATATTATATGGAATATAGAATCTAATAGAATATTCTATTAGAATATTCTATAGGATATTTAATGTTATAGAATATTCCCTTAGACCTATAACATCATAAGAAGGAATATTCTATAGAATGTTTTATAAAATGTGACCTATATATAACAAATTTATTCTTTAACCCAGTACACCAGTCTTATATGCTTGTAATTAATGCCAGTTAATTTTGCATAATATGCACATTGTTCCAGTGCGTAAATTAAGCACATATACCCTCTGCACTCAATTTCAAAACAGAACTATGAATACCGTTCAAAGAAAATTTATTTAAATTTGTTTCGTAAATACATATACTGTAAATGTAATGTAAATCTATCTATATCTACTACAGTATCAAAATATTTACATCTTGCTACTCTGCTAAAATATTGGAAACTTGCATGCTCGTTGAAATATGGGTAAAATAGGTCTTATAATTGGTAAAAAGTTTGAGATTTATGTGCAAGCTGAGAGAAGTGGCAAAAGTGCATAGGGTTCGAAATGGAAAAATATATCATTATTAAAATATCTCAAATACACCCAGCATTATCATTCAAGCAAGCAAGTTTATGCAAAAAAAATGACAAAGTTTTGTAAATTGCCTTCTACATTCTTTAACTAGTTAGCTAGAATATGCAATATTGTTGGACAGTTAAAACTATCCATTGTGAAATATTCTCAAAATTCAATGCCATTTTTGACACCTCAATTTCATGCATTTAAGATATGGGCAGTTCTAATTATTCTTAGGATGAACTCTGTTATGCAGTACTTACAGTATGTACAATGCTATTAATTAATCATCATTAATTCGGTACGGCAATGGACAAAAGTATGTTTTTTCGTCTAAAGTCAGACAAATACACTTACGCTCAATTTTAGATGGATAAATTGCTATCGTACAATCAGATTCATTTACGTCTACAATAAAATGGCTAGTGACTTTAAAATCTGCATCTCTAAATAAAGTTCTTTGATTAGCATGCATAGGTTTCAATAAAACTATGTTGTACAGGGCACACTCACAGTACTGTGATATCTCCATGGTGCAACAACACAGTGGCTTAAAAACAAGAAGGCCTAAAATCAAGGCATATTTGAAAGTTGGATGCTGAATTGATATATGGTGGTTTGTGTGCCGTTTGGATCTGGTATAAGAGACAGAAGAATACAATTGATGTTTGAACAGAAATCTATCATACATTTTTGCATGTTGTATATTCACTGGTACACAAAGAAGATCTTCCAAAGCAACTATCATATGTGCATCCAAAGTGACCATCTTTCCAGAACCAAGGGGAGTTAATTCAGAATGAGAAAGATTATTGATAAACCTAGAATTATCAGTGAGCTTAGATAGAACTTCTACAACACACAAAGAAGAATTGGTACCAACAGAACTTTGTGTCAGTGACGCAATCTTATTTTTCAACATAAAAGTTTCAGTTATTTGCTGTGGAACACACTGTGTCCCATTAAACATGTTCATAAGTACATGGTTATGCGACTCAAAAGTGAATGCAGAAGTAGCCCATAATGGACCACAGTCTTTAACACAATGCGCTAAGTGTGTCAGGCAATGGACATTAAATTTGCAGCTTGACAAACCATACAGTTCCTCCAGCTTAATAACAAACTTTGTTAGGCAAAGTTCAGAGATTTCAATTGAAGAAGTTGAGATTGAGTCCCCCAATAGACTGTAAATACCATATACAAAAAGAAAGTAATGGCTCAAAAAAGAACTAGGAAGAATTCCATGGAGTACAATCAGACTGTAAAAGATGAAAGCCCTCCACTCAGATGCCTTCCAGAATTGGCGTTGGGAAATACTACGAGGGCTTCTATGTATTTCACTTGGAGGACTAATCACCTGCAGCCTCTCATCAACTAACTTGACCTGGCGGCCAATGTAATAACTTTCACCATGGTTTTTACTGTTAAACCACAGATCTACCATTTGCCGCATGACCCCCAGACACACAGAATGCATATAATCTGTAATTGTTCCTCTGACAGTGTCAAAAGAAGGTAACATATCTGCAACTGACACACCTTTAACTCCCTTAACAGGCTTGGCAGCTGTAGACTGTAGAGCATAAGCAGCTTGCTTTCTAGCACTACGCATCACAACTGGCATTCTATAAGGATAATAGCGAACTGGTGGCCCAGTGGTCGCAACAGGTAGGCCTTCAAACTCACACCAATCACAGCCATATTCACCGTTAAATTGCTTTACATTTCGAACAATAGCTCGAGCAGGGGAATCGGCAGACAGAAGCAAAGCAAACACCCTTCTCCGGTGTAGCTCATTGCCAAAGACAAAGCCCTCAGTCTCTAGCTTCCTACACTCTTCAACAAATGGTATCAAGAAGATGTTCATGTTTGGTTTTTGGCCAAACCATAGACCAAGTAGTAAAATATTCTTGCTTCGAAGATGGGAAGGGAGCTCATTAATAAAGGCTTGCAAAGGCCATATTGAAAAATTAGACGAATTAAATACTGGGATACCATCTGTATTCCAGGTTAATGAAATATCATTTGAACTAAAACTATGTTCACTAATAAGTTCTTTGTATAATGCAGATGTTGTTATATCAGATACAACAGATGAGTTTATGCTGTCTTCAATTTTTCTGTTGGTCAAGTGGGTGTGTAATTTAGCATTGCTAAGTGTTGTTTCAATCTGCTTCTGCAGGGGTATGTAGACAAAATAATCTCCCTTCTTTATGCTATCAGCTTCATTAAATGGACTGTCACATGACTTGCATAATGTAATAGCTGTATTCTTACCCAAATATGATGAACAGTTTGAGCAGTAAAAGTGCTTCTAAAATTAAAAAAAAGTTGGTTAAGCAAAAAGATTGTGTTTTATCTGAAATTCTCTCAATTGTTGCTGTGTACGCACAAGAACAAATGATCAATTACTATGTTAAACATAGTCTTCATGCTGTGATATTTGCTTTGAATCTCCCTAACAACAATCTGGGTCAATTAAGGAATTAAAATTTATACCTCTGACTGCTCTAACTGGAAGGATTTGTAGAATCGGTACTTAGTAGGTGGAACAGTATTTGGGAAAAAGGTATTCAGTAACAACAACAGATCTCCCAAGGCCACATCTGTAAGTTTGTGCCTTAGCACAAAACACAAAATAAGCAGAAGACTTTGAGCTTTTGTAACATTTGAGCCAGGGTAAATGGGATCATTTCCATTGTTTGAAATCTAAAAAAGATTTATTGATACTTTAATAGCTTGCTTTAATACAGCAACAGCATACTGTAATGGACAACATCAATTATTATTGTATTCTTTGCAACTGTTGAATCCAACTAAGATTATAGAAGGTATTAAAATTAACGGTTCACTCCAATCATTCATCCCCCCACTGATGCCTTCCATTCCAGAATTAAATTGCTGATCATCTTCACTTTCAACTTCGTCATCCAATGATCCTTGATCTTTATTTACATTCTGAACCTATAACAAAATGACAATAAAATAAGGTTATCAGCTAGAGGACTAAGAACAGTATTAATGAATGATTAACATATAATACATTTAAGTGCATAACTAAGGGCTAAGTCTGTCCCATAATTGAAAGGCCATGCATGTAAAGCATTTGATTAACAAAATACTACAAACGATTACATAATACAATGCCAGCCATAAAATTACACTAGGTAAGAAATTACTTAAAACAGCTACCTGAAATTCAGAATTCTCTTCTTCATCAGTAGAATAAGCGTTCAACAAATCATCAATTGTTGAGCAATCTTCAGGTTCTATATTTTTTGCACAGTCACGTTTTCTTTTGTTATACAACGTAGTTTTTGGTATGGAAGCAGTCGGATCATGCTCGTAACGTTTATAAGGCCCTCGCTGTGACATTAAACATAAATTTTTGTGTCCAGTCTTGAAATATGTTGAAGCAATTTGATTGTGAATTACTATTTGAGGCTACAAATGACAATGACAAATGACAAAGTCACACAATGTAATTATGAAACACTGATATGGCAAGTTGGGCATTGTTTTCAACAGTGTTTCCACATCTCAGTTCCTTTTTAACAAAATTTCTTTTTGATTTCGAAATATTATCCCTACGATTTTCCCGCTACAGGCGCTACTGCTAATGAAATTTTAAGCTTTGGATGTTGAACTATTAAAACTCAGTGGTTAAATACAACTCTATATTATGAGTTTTTTTCTGATTTTATATGTTGACAAATTGGATTAAAATTGGCTTCTTCCAGAATAGGCCATCTTTCCGGGGTGATTAATGCTTCTAGATGTATCAAGTTTCTATCTCACACAGCACACAGTCCAAAGGTTACCACATGCCTGCGGAATCAGATTTCTGTCTCACTCACACCGTTCTAAGGTTAATTGTTCAGACAACGCTAGATCCAAAGGCAGCGAGAGAATTAACGCAAGTTTGCGCACAAAAATTGTTTATAGATATTTTCCTTCTATTCATAATGAAGTATGCGCTATTCGAGTTCGTGAATGAAAAATCTTGCGAGATTGGTGAGACAAGGTGGATTCTTCGTGAGGATCCAGACAGATTTGAAAATAATGGCTGGGATCATGAAAAGGAAGTGATGGTCGCATGGCCAACTGAATTCCAAAAAATATCCAAAAAGATCATAAAAGGTTCTATTGATCCAGCATCTGTTTTGACAACCACTTATGTAGCAAAAGTACTCAAATTCAGCGGTAAGTTTAATATTATAGAACCATATTTAGTAATACATAAGAAAGGCATGTTTTATATGGCGCTTGTAATAGTGTAACGCAATAACGGATTTTGGCTGCTTTCAGTTAACCCTCGCATTTTTCATACACACGTATATGCACATAAAAGTCTAAATTGATAGAACATTTGTTGACCTATTCCTTTATTAAATAATTAAACGTTTTTCGCTCATAACAAAACGCGATAGTGGAAAGCAGCCCTTACATAGTAAATGTGTCAGTTAAATCGATTATTTATGTATGAAAGATTGTCAGATTCGAAACCCAGGGCGTGCGCGATATAAGTTCCGTGCGCAATTTTTTTAAAAAGTGCGCAGTTTTAAAAAAAGCGTGCAATCGAATGTTCCCGTTTCAAACATAACATAATATTAAACAATGTTCAATATTGAGGCAAGCGACGCGTGTGTGCCCGGCTTTAGCACAAGTTGTTTGCCCTAAAAATCATAAAAAAAAGGATCATAAGGGCTATATTTGAACACATAATGACCTACATGCTTACATAAATGACCCCAATATAATGATAGCTAAACTTTTCACCCCTCCTGCATTCTATCTGATATAGTTTAAAAGAAGCCCCCCTGAATTGAGTATATCCATACATATATACTTTTCACAGATGACTATGAAAGTATTCGCCAGCATATGAGGCAGTATATTGAAACTGGTTCAACAGTTACCCCCAACCATGGAAGAGGGCAACGAGCAACAAAGAAAAATGGCAGATATCTTGAGTCAGATGATGAGTCAGAGCAAGAGAAGGTATTATCTATTATCTAATACAATCTATTTCTATTAATTAAAGAAATATTATATCATTTTGGTTTATTTTATTATTCAAAACAATTTGTATGTGAATCTCACACAAATCAGACCGTATATAGCCTAGCTTAATTCTTTGAAGACAATGCAATTTAACTGGATATCCATGCAACCAAAAGAATCTATAACGTACAGTATATATACTGTTGAATTTTTAACATATATATGAATCAAAGTATTGTTCATCTCTTCAAAAAAATAGCAACTATCTGATTAAAATCATGGTAATACATGTCCTATCCTGCATGATAATGCATTAAATTTTTAGAACCTTTATACAGCTAGTACAGTTTATAGATTCTATGTTATCATTTAAGAGTCCCAAACGGCCAAGAAAACCTGTCTCCAAGAATGTGACAAACACAAGTGATGCAATAAATGCCTTAAAAGCTAAATATAATTTAAAGGAGGCAAAGGTAAGTTTCTGGACAATACAGAGGTACAAGAGTAAGGTTACAAGAGCTTTCATGTATTTGGGTGTATTATATCACTGAAATTCGGCAATGAATGTAGACCTTGTGTTGTTTCAAGTGATTGATTAGATGTTACAAAGGCTTTTACCTGTCAAAAGCTTCTCATTTTAAAAGTTATTTTTGATTTTTGTAGCTTCTTAATCCATTTGATGATGAACATGTGAGTCTGAAATGTTTTGAGTATCTCATCGAATAGCATATTGTTTGATTTATTGATATGGTTTACAGTAGCCCCATTTAAACCTTGACTACAGTATCACTGTTTGGGTTCTCTGCTGTCACAACAATGAGCTAGTGGTAATTATGCCTCCTTTCTGATTCCTAATAGAATAACATATCATCCGAAGATGAAGAAGTTGCCTCTCTGAAGAAGAAAAATGCTAATCTGCAGAAAATAATTGACAAAAAAGATAAAGAAATTGCCCATTTGCATTCCATTATTGACAATCTTAAAGGTACTATATTATTTTTGTTATTTATGATTATCTGTGTTGTGGGGATCCTTTTGACCTCTTTTCCTGCAGTAATTAACATATTTCATACTTGCTGTTTAGAAATTCAAACTCTACCTGCCCTTATCAGTGATTTGCGGAAGCAAGTAGATAAATTAAAAGAAGAAAAAGATGTCAGTGTTATCCCAAATGCACCATTAAAAGAAAATGTTTCATCTGGTTCAAGTTTTTCAGCAGGATCTTCCACAAATACCTCTGGCGATTCTGATTCTGAAACTGACCTGGTAAGTATCAATAAACTATCAGTATTTCAATCCCTTTATATTTTATTATAACAATAAAAGATCTGTTTTTATTCTCACTCTTTTCTTCTAAATCTTTTCTTACAAAGCTTTAATATCAATTTCATAACAAAAGGTTCATAAATGTGATTTTTTTTAGATATCCCTTGGACCTAATGTAAACATTAGTAAGGCTCAGCATAAAGTACTCCGATCGAAAACTGATTTGAAAAATTATGTCTACTCCATTATGGGGATGATGTGGAGCAGGGAGGTCCTCTGCACTCATTCAATGACAGGGAGAGTGTCAAATGCATTCAAGGAGAAGGATGCAAAACCCCAACTTGATGAAGAGAAAGTAAAGACTATATGTGGTGAGTTTTTTAAATAATATTAACTAACAGGGCTTAGGTGGAAGTCTAGTCTGTTTAACATCATAACAATGTGAAGGAGCACACCTGAGCTTTATTTCATATTACTTGTTTAATATAATAAAAGGAATGAAATTATTGTTTGAAATCAATGTGAAAATTCCCGACAATAAATGCATGATCATATAGGAGGGATATGTATCAGTTTATCCTGTATATATCCCTCGAGGTTATTTTATGGACTCACTGGAATTAACTTAAATTATTTCCATCTGTTATATAGAATATGGCTCAAAAAGATTTGGATGTAAAGTGGGCGATGTAAAGAAAATGATGACAGCTAGGATAAGTAATATCGTTAAGGCTGAGAAAGCCAAGGACAAAGGAATTCAAAAATAAGATTCATATATATAGAACGTAAGGCTTTGGTAGTATTTTTTTAAATGTTAATGATGCCCTAAAACTGTTTGTCTTGTACGGAATCTATGGTACTATTGTTGTATAATAATCTGTTTTATTTTTTTAAATTTGTAAATTTGTTTATATATAATGCCAACACAGCAATTTTATTAAATCTTTGCATCAATTGAACTTAAATTTGCTATATTTGCATGGGGACATTTAATTTGTTTGCTAGAAAAAATTTGAATATATATGTTATTATAAAGTGATATTTCAAAGTGAGAAGAAGGAATATTTTGTACATTTATTATATAGTCAATAGCATATTTAAATATTATCCTATAAAATATACTATAGAATATATATTCTATGGAATATTCTATCACATATCCAATAGGATCTTTAATGAAATATTCCATGACATGGAACATATTTTATGGAATATTTCATAGAAGATGTCATAGAATATGTGTCAGAATGTTCCATAGAATACCAGTATTCTATAGAACATTTTAATGAATATTCCTAAGAATTTTCTATAGAATATTCTATAAAAAATGGCATATGTTATAGAATAGTCTATTAAATGTGCTATAGAACATGTTGTAGAACGTTCCATAGAATACCAGTATTCTATAGAACATTTTAATGAATATTCCTAAGAATTTTCTATTGAATATTCTATAAAAAATGGCATATGTTATAGAATATTCTATTAAATGTGCTATAGAACATGTTGTAGAACGTTCCATAGAATAGGTTCCAAAATCCCTTAGAATATTCTATAGGATATTCAGTAAAACATTTTAATGGAATATTCTATAGAATATTTTTGTAAGGGGTGTCTTAAATAGCCATCAATCGTAATGAAATTGCAGGAAACTTTTCTACTCAGTTGTGAGCCACTGTCTGATATTACACTTTCACACCAAGACGTGAAAAGGTAAACACTCGGCCAAAGTGCACATTCAATTCCTTCTGTGTCTTTGAAATTAAACAAATTGATAGTCTCGTTCTCAGTAAGAATTGTATCCCTTGATTTTACAAAATGTGAATATTTTGAGTCTTTTGAAGTCATTAGAAATCTATATGCATTTGCACAACGAGTTCTTTGAGCTTGACAGTTCAATTGAGCAATCTTTTCTTCTACAGACAAATGTAGAGGTCTTAACTTAATTGGGCAACATTTCAAGCAATAGATATGCGAGTGCCTTTCCGATTTCTCAAAAAACAGGTAAAATGGCTTCATAGTGTTAATTTTGTCAGTGGTTAATGATGAGAGAGCAATTGGTATCTCATTGCAACGGGGAATGATGTACTGTGAAATTTCTTCATGGTCTTATTGATTGGACGCCTGGCGAAATTATATGGCAAAATTCTTGATAAAAAAGAATTGCATAATGAACAAAAGGTCCATGGATTGTAATTTGCCCAGAAATGCAAGCCTGAAGAAATTTTAGTGGTTTGATTTACATTTGCAACATTTTGCAAAGTGTGTTTGCAAGTATGCGTTTCATTATAACTCTTCTTCTTGAGCACGCCTGTCTTTTCTTGGGTTTTTAGGTTTTCCGTATATTGTATAACCTTATCTTGTACATCAGAGTAACTATACACCAAGAAACATTTTCTTTGCCAAAAAGCCTTAGCCTGATCTGGGGATGATAAATACGCCATTCCAATGATCACAAATTTGTTAAATGGTCTGATTCCTGACAAAGTGTGGAAAAACGAAGAGCTAAGTGTACTTTGTGTCGTTATAGTTAAAACACATTCGTAATAACATGTAAATTTTTAAGAATATAATTGCAAAAGTTATGATCCCAAAATTCTTTCCGTCTTAACAAAGCAGAAAACGAATGTTTGAATTTAGATAATGTGCAGAAAAAGTTACATGGAAGTACGAATGGCATGCAGTCGCAATATAATATGCGCATAAATAACTTTGTGTTGCTGCCCCACAAATTACACGTATTTTCGGATATAACAGCCTTTCTGTTTGTAAATATCGTAATAAATCACACGATTTAGAGAGTGTGAAATTCTAGTAACTTTTTGACACATGTAGGGATATCTTTACACAATAATATACAAAAAACCTTCCTAAACCTAGGCAAAATATTTCGTTTCTTTCCTGATTCAATCGCGTATTTCTTGTCGAAATATTTTCGCAAATGAAGCTCTTAAAATTTCTAAAACCTAAGAGAATGAATTAAAACAAGATTTAATCGCTTACTTTTGATCTTTAACTGGCAATGAGAAACAATAACGACAGCCACTTTGACAACAAAGCTTAAATGAACAAAATGGCTTTTCTGCTACCTAAATGTCGTAAAAAAATTTCCGAATTACAATGAGTGAAATGCCAGTAACTTTTTCACTTATCAAAGGATATTTTTGCGCGATGATAAGTACAAAAATCCTTGCCTAGGTTCAATGCAGTATTCCATTTCTTCGCCGATCCAATCGGGTAATTTTTCTCGCAAATAAAAGCGTTCTCAATATCTAAAACCTTTCCACTAAAATACTGAAGTTAAAATACAATTTAATCGATCACTTGCAGCCGAAAAATGTAACGATTCAAAGCAAACTTCAGCGAGACACTCCTCCGCACGACAAATAACAACAACCAATTTGAGAAAGAAGGTTGAAGGAACAAGATGGCCGACCTAAATTTCGAATAAGTCAGATAAAAAAAATTGCAGAGTTTTAAATGTGTAGATAAAATGTTCAAGGAAGCTTTGACATAGTATTTTTTATAAGTTTTGAACGTGTAGATAATATATTTCAGACATATAAAAACTGTTTGATAAAATATTGTAATTAACTGCAATTGAAATATGTGCTTTTTCAACTTGAAAACAGTTGTCGAAAATAGAAATTTTTGCCTGTAAGAAAAAAAGAGGTGACGCATCTTGAAAGCTAAATTCTTTAACATTGATTTGCTAGACTTGAAATTCATTAGGAATGTTCAGCCGGCAGTGACAAAGAATACAAGAGAATATTAAACACCAGCTATTCATTTCATTCAGTTCAAAAATTTGAAAACAATCATGCAAATTAGCAATTTTTACCCTATATGAGGTGACATATTTTGACACCTAAATTCTTTAATATTGATTTTGCAGAACTTGAAATTCAGTAAGAATGTTCAGCAGGCATTGACAAAGAATGCAAGAGAATATTAAACCAGCTATTCATTTCATTCAGTTCAAAAATTTGAAAACAATCATCCAAAATAGCAATTCTTGCCCTATATTAGGTGACAGATGTTGAAAGCTAAATTCTTTAATATTGATTTGCTAGACTTGAAATTCATTAGGAATGTTCAGCAGGCATTGACAAAGAATACAAGAGAATATTAAACGCCAGCTATTCATTTCATTCAGTTCAAAAATTTGAAAACAATCATGCAAATTAGCGATTTTTACCCATTATTAGGTGACAGATTTTGAAAGCTAATCTTTAATATTGATTTTGCAGAACTTGAAATTCAGTAAGAATATTCAGCAGGTTCTGACAAAGGATAAAAGGGATTATTATATATTCAAGCGCCAGATATGAGGTATGCTGCAATATCATTGGTTGGCTACTAGATTTTTAGCTCATATCTGTCTAGTAGAGAAAGTAAACAAAATGGCGAAAAGAATGGGGGGGTTGAGTGAAATAGAAATCAGAGCCTAGTTGATAATAGCACACCAAAATGCAACGAAAGGGTGACAAAGTTTGTGTATATAATAAAACAGTTGTGCCGAGTTGGCTATCAGCCATATACGATGAGAGTGAGCAGAATAACTGTTAAATATTAGATGAGCAATTGATTTCATTGAGTTCAAAAAATTTGAAAACAATTGTCCAAAATAGCAATTCTTGCCCTAAATTAGGTGACAGATTTTGAAAGCTAAATTCTTTAATATTGATTTTGAAGAACTTGAAATTCAGTAAGAATGTTCAGCAGGCATTGACAAGGAATACAAGAGAATATTGAACCAGCTAGCTATTCATTTCATTCAGTTCAAAAAACTTGAAAACAATTGTCCAAAATAGCAATTTTTGCCCTGTATTAGGTGACGGATTTTGAAAGCTAAATTCTTTAATATTGATTTGCTAGACTTGAAATTCATTAGGAATGTTCTGCAGTCATTGACAAAGAATTATAAGAGAATATTAAACCAGCTATTCATTTCATTCAGTTCAAAAATTTGAAAACAATCATCCAAAATAGCAATTTTTGCGCTATATTAGGTGACAGATTTTTAAAACTAAATTCTTTAATGTTGATTTTGCAGAAATTGAAATTCAGTAGGAATGTTCAGCAGACATGGAATTAAATACAAGAGAATATTAAACCAGCCATTCATTTCATTCAGTTCAAAAATTTGAAAACAATCATCCAAAATTGCAACTATTGCCTTATATTATATTTTTTCTTTCTGCTCCCTTTGCAACTTTCGATGTGGGATGTTTTTTTCTGGATGAGCATGAATCTGTGAGGTAGGTCTTTAGCCCCTTGTTTCGCAAATTACTTACCTCCCAAGTGTGTATCTACAAAAAATCACTGCAATCTCACTAGTCGTTTCAACAAAAACCGTGTCAAAATCTGTATATTCATCTCGCTCCTAAGCACATGTAAATACAGTCTCCCTATTGGCTAAATTATAAAAAGTTCACTTCCAGTCTCGTGAGTGTTCGCGACAATTTCCGACACTGTTCCCCATATACATTCCTAGTGGGATGTATATGCAACCCTTTCTAATATTGTTTTTATTTCCTACTTAATTAATGCAATGTCCATATACATATTTATATAAGTTAGATATTCGTGTCGATTTGTTTGTATGTCTCATATGTCACCTTCTTCTGCCATCTCTTGAATACGTATGTGCGCTGCTTCGCAAGCTGCTCTGCTTGATCAAGCTTCAAACTTTGCCTTGTCCGCCGCACCGCCCTCACAACACCGTCCTAGCCAGGAAAGGTTTCCTTAATCACAGCAAAGAACC